AAGCTGAGCTGCCAACAGGTGGCAGGATGTCTCAGCTAAAAAAAAAAAAAAGAAAGCTGGGGTGAGCAGACTCTGCAGGTGGATTTGAGAAAGGGGGAAGATGAGGCGTGGGGGGATGGAGCTGCCCCTGCACATGCTGGGAGAGAGGAAGGCTTGGGTTTGGGGCCGAGTGTGGTCCAGGCCTTGTCCTGGCAGAGGTGAGTGCTGAGGCCGTGGGAGCAGGCGCACTCTGAGCGAGGGCTGGCAGAAATGTGAGGCGCTGCGGAGGGAGGCCTTGTGAGGTCCTGAGGTACTATCACCAGGTGGGGGACCCCCAGGGCCTTTGAGGCCTCTGTAACCACCCGGGTCTGATCTGGGATATGGGAAGGGGTCCCCTTGGAAGGAGTTACACTAGTAGAAGCCTAATTGAGGACCTTTTCTACCTTCTGGGATGCTACAGAAAGGGGACTTTGGGCCATGAGCTCTTGGGGTGTCCCTGGGGCTAAGGACAGAGCATCTGGGGGCCATGGTGAGGGAAGCCAGACCAGTGCCAGGCTGCTGAGCCCAGGCTGGGCAGTGGGACTGCTGCCCACCCCTCTCCTCACTCCACATAGCCACAGACAAGGCATCAGGGATGGGGAAGTTTGGTCTGCAGTCTGTTCTCATTGGCCTCATCCGGGTTCGTCGTGGGCCTCTGCCTGGCCCTGGGTCCTGTAGCGGCCTCCCCTAGGAGACAGGCGGCAGTCTGACCCAGGGCTCGGGCTCAGGCTGCCAGAGTGTGGGCTCTGGTTCCACCACTCAGTTCATAATTGATTGTTGTCTGCAGGTCTAGAAGGAGCCCTTTCTCTGCCTCCCCTTGGGTGCCATCCTGGAAACCGTGGCCAAGGAGTGTGACCTGGGCTTGAAGTTAGGCAAGAAATGGTAATAGGGGGTCATAGCCACCAGAACTTGAGGGTGATGTGACTTCTTCCTGCCAGGGCCTGCAGGCTGCTTTCCTCTTCTCCCGTCCCTGTCACGTGGTGGGGCCACCAGCTCTTCGCCTTGTGACAAGGACTGGCTGAGAGCTGTTAACTGGCTGACACCTCGTAAGTCCTGGCTGATTGTCGGTTTCCTGATCCTCAGCTGGGCTGATCCAGGCCCTCTATATGGGAGGACGACAGGGATGGGGAGTGGAATGGCGGTCCTAGGTCCCCACCCCGTCCCTTCAGCAGGCTTGGTTTTTATTAAATCACGTGTTTATTCATTCTTTCATTCAATTATATTTATTGACCACTTACTCAGTGTGAGGCCCCAAGGTTCTGAGATTGGTAAGTCACAGGACCTGCCGCCCGGGAGCACACAGTCTGGTGGGGAAGGTAGTTGCAATGTGACATGTACTGTGATGGAGGAGGCCTTGGTCAGTTGGAGCCCAAAAGGCCTCTGACCTAGTGGAGGAGGTCAGGGAAGGCCTCCCAGAGCTGGCCGTAGCCAAGCTGAAACCCAAAGGGTGCTTGAAAAATAAGCCAGGTGAAATGGGGAAAGGGTTTCAGCTCTAAGAAGAGGAAGGCCTGGGGTGAGAGAGAGTGGTCCGTTTGAGGAACCCACAAGTTTACTGTAGCTGGAGGAAGTGATGGGGGTGAGGGGCCAAGTGCACCCCAGGTAGAGCTACAGGGGTCAGGGGAACACATGCTCCAGTGCCTTGTCAGCCTCGTCAAGGAGCAGGCCTTGGCCCTGATGGAGCAGCGAGCCAAGGGGAGGGTTTTGGTCACTCTTCTGATTGCTGTTCATTGATTGATTGATTCATTCACAAAACAAATCTGATTAAGGACTAACTAGGAGCCAGGCACTGTTCCAGGGTATGAAGTGATAAGTACTGGGAGCGGCACACCATGAGAAATAAGTATATAATATGATGCCAGGCAGTGAGTGCTAAGAGCTATGGGAAATAAAGCACGAGAAGGGGTGAAGGGTGTCCGAGAAGGCCTCCCTCATGAGGTATGTGTAGTGTGACCAGAAGGAAAGCGAGGCTGTGAGCCATGTGGGGATCTGAGGAAGTGCTTTGCGGACCAAGGGAATAGCAGAGGCAAAGGCCCTCAAGGCAGGAACATGGAGGTGTTGGAAGAAAAGCAAGCGTCAGTGGAAGAGAGAAGAGTAAGTGCAAGGGGAAGGCGGGTCTTGGCAGCTATTGTAAGACTGGGAGCTTTTTCTTTGTGACGGGAGCCATCGGAGAGTTGTGAGGGAGGAGAGACTCGATGTGACTGACATTAACAGGATCAGTCCTGTTGCCATGGTGGCAAGAGATGACACAGGGGCAAGGATGGAAGCAGGGGCCCCGTGCAGGGTCTGCTGCCCGTGAGGTTTGAACCAGGGTGATGGTGATAGAAAACGTGGTACGAAGTGCTCAGACTCCAGATATGCTGTGAGGATGGAGCTGCGAGGACGTGCTGACTCGCTGCACGTGGCATGTGCGGAAAGAAGCGTGAAGGATGAAGC